CCTGACATCTCCGGAAGTGTGTCATAAGGCCACACACCCCACCCCCAACGGTCCTGGCCGCCACTGCCGGCCTTGCAGCTCCACTGCCGAGCCCCATGAGGGGCCCGGCGGTGGACCTGCAAGGCCGGCGGGAGTGCAAGGAAGCCCCGCGAAGGCCCTCCCTGGCCCCAGGCAGGCAGGGGTGGGGAGAGGCAGGGAGGAAGCAATTTACCCTCCCTCTTCTCCTGCCTCCTCCTGGCTGAATGAGGGCCGGAAGCAGGGGGCGGGGCTTCGTCGTGTGCCCCGCCCCCCGTACCTCACCCGGGGGAACTGCGATCCCCCGCGATCCCCCCCGAAATGACCTCTGCTCTAACTGATCTCCAAACGACAGAGATCGGTTCCCCCGGAGAAAGGAGCCACTTCAGAGAGCAGCGTCTAAGGCAGAGTTGTCAAGCGCATTTGTTGCGAAGGCCGGATCTGACACAAGTGTCGTTTCGTTGTGCCCGTGCATGCAGGGGTCATTCCGTAGAAAAAGAGGTGCAGGAGCTCATGAGCGTAACTCATCAGCATAACTTATTTGCGTATGCCACACCCCCTGGCATCACCGGAAGTGTGTCAGAAGGCAACACCCACCGCTGAGGCTCCGCCGGACTGTTTTGGATTGCTAGTTAGTGGGGGGGGGGAGAACATGCAGATCTGTCCTTGCAGAGGAGGGAGAGCTTGTACCTGAATAAAACTTGGTCTTAAAGGTGCCACTGGACTCTTTTGGTTTGCTAGCTATGGTGTTGTTATTTGCTATGTTCGGTGGGGGGGGGGAGAGAACATGCAGATCTGTCCTTGCAAAGGAGGGAGAGCTTGTACCTGAATAAAACTTGGTCTTAAAGGTGCCATTGGACTCTTTTGGATTGCTAGCTATGGTGTTGTTTCGTTGTGCCGTGCGTGCAGGGGTCATTTCGTAGAAAAAGAGGAACAGGAGCTCATTAGCGCAACTCATCAGCATAACTTATTTGCATATGCCACACCCCCTGGCATCACACGAAGTGTGTCAGAAGGCAACACCCACCGCTCAGGCTCCACTGGACTGTTTTGGATTGCTAGCTATTGGGGGGGGGGACGTGCAGATCTGTCCTCGCAGAGGAGGGAGAGCTTGTACCTGAATAAAAC